TGTAGAAGAGGGTACAGGTAGACATGTACATGAGAAAGAAAAGCATTAGGACAGAATTGAGAACCCACCACCTTAACTAAATAGACTTAGCATGCATTCACGCGGTTAGTAAATTGAATGCAGCGTACCTACAAACGCTGCGCCGGTTCTACATACGTTCTCTGCAGGACCCGTCGTCGCTTCGGTACTGGTCCCGAGTGGCCTCGCTCATGGCTCACCAGGCCTGCCTGACTCAGACACTCGCGACCGCATGTGCTACAGCACCATGCGCTCGATTTCGATGGAGTACAACCCACAGGTGCTCGCCGCTTCCGCATTTGCCGATTCTCTCCGCATGTATGAGGTCTTTCTCACACACTTCGGCAACTGCCTTCGTGATTAGATCGCGCCATGCACGCCGATCAACCGCCTTCGATTCCCATGACCTGTAATCAAGATTAGAATGTGATAGGCTCAATTTGATCATGTCCCGGTAACGTAACTTTTGTTTTCCCACATGCCGCTTCCCAGTACTCAGCTGACCATATAATAGTTGTTTCGGTATCCGCATCGAATCTATACGCCACACATGACCGAGCCATCTCAGGTGTCTCGGTAAAAGTATGCAGTCCACTGCATACATTCCACTTTGTCGCAACCCGTCCGTGTTAGCAACTCTGTCGCCCCAACTGATGCGCAAAATCCGTCGCAAACACTGCTGATGGAGCCGCTCGAGATATCGCACATCCCGCCGGTACATCGTCCATATAGAAGAACGGATAGCACCATGGATTTGAACACCATCAGCTTCGTGCCAATGATAAACTGATGGTTGTTCCACACTCGGTAATCAAGCTTCCCGAATGCCGCCGCTGCCTTCGAGACGCGGATACGCAGCTCACTGTGTAGCTGCTGATCAGTCGACATCACACTCCCAAGGTAGCAGAAGCGGGAGGTGGTTTCCAATACTTCAGCACCAATGCTGATTCGCGGCAATATTGAAGATTGCACCTCCGGTGAAGGCTGAAAGAGACAGACAGTTTTGCTTGTGTTGATGGTGAGCCCGAATTTGGCCGCCGTCGACGCCAATGCACTAGTCATATTGCTGCAACTCATCCGCGCTGTGTGCAAACAACGCACAGTCGTCAGCAACATACGGGTAGTTGTCTCACAGATTAGGGTTCTCGCACCGAAACGACGGATGTTCAGCAACCCACCATCAATACGGTGCTCCACACGAACACCGTAAGCACAAGCCGATTCAAATGAACATCATTCCATGCAGATAGATATTAAACAGGGCAGGAGCTAAGACGCAGCCTTGCTTCACACCAGAGACAACTGCAAAGTCATCCGAGGTCTCTCCACTCAGCTGCATCTTCGCTCGCGTACCACTGTGCAGCCATTCAATTAAACTTACAAACTTACGCGGGCAACCAAACTTACCCAACACCAGCCACAATGCCTCGCGGTTCACCGTATCAAATGCCTTGGTGAAATCAACAAAAAGCGAGTACAATGGCTGGTGTCGTTCTCTGCACTTCTCTTGCAACTGACGAGCCGCAAACACCATATCTATAGTGTTGCGACCCGAGCGGAATCCACACTGCTCTTCCGCCACGTTAGGTTCCACAACCTGACTGACGAGGTGGTTCAGCAGGATTCGGGCAATCACCTTGCCCACACAACTCAGCAAGTTGATGCCACGATAATTCGTGCAACATTGCTTGCTCCCTTTCCCCTTGTACAGTGGTAGCACAAGGGCATCTTTCAGCTCAGGAGGCACCTCCTCATCAATCCATACGCGTTGCACCAAGTGGTGCAGCGCAGTCAAGAACGTTGGTCCGCCGTGTTTCAATACTTCAGGCGGGATCTCGTCGGCCCCGGCACACTTGCCGTTTCGCAGCTGAGCAAGTGCCCTCTGCGTCTCATCCAGTGTCGGCGTGTCAGCTAGACTCGTCTACACATCGTGCTGCTTGAGGCCGTTCAATGTAGGCCAGTCGATCTCTGAACGGTTGTTCAGAAGACAGTCAAAGTGATTTCTCCAGATCTGCTTTATGTCTACAGTCTGTGTGCAGGCTGCGCTTGAACTACCATCGAACAGTGTCCTCAGAGGCTCCAATTTCGGTCCATACACCGCCTTCAAGGAGTCAAAGAATTCCTTTTGTTGGCGGCGTTCGGCGTAGCATTCCATCTGCTTCGCCTTCCCCGTCCACCATGCATCTTTAATGCGACGGAGCTCTCGGGTCAGTCGCCGTCGAAGTTTGCGAAACTGACTACTCTTTCCCAAGTCACTGGGGTCTGCGAAGTGTGCAGCAAATGCTGCATTCTGCTCCGACACCAATGCGCCAATCGTCGCATTGTTCTCATCAAACAAATCAGGCCGCTTAGAGTTTGCGCGCCCGATAGTCTCCTCAGCAGCAGCTGTCACCTGGTCGCGAATGTGGTGCCACAGGTCGCCCACTGTGGCTATGCAGTCCGCATCACACAGGCGTGCAGCCATCGCCTTCTCCAGCTCAATACGTTTCGTCACAGTACCGAGGGAGAGAATATTAAATTTACGCCGGTTCACGGCGGGAGTGCAATACATAGATTTACGAAAATATATGTACAGTTTGGTCCGCACCAATTTGTGACCAGTGCCACACTCAGCTCCACGCAGTACACATGTCATGCACACATGTCACTCATCTCACGCTGACGTACGATGACAGTCGAGCAGGTGAGCGTGACCACTCCGTGGGTGTGTCCAAGTTGCTATATCACTCGCACTCATTGCAAACCGAGTGTTCGTGATCATCAGGCCGTGAGTGGCACACAGTGAGAGCAGCCTGTCACCGTTCGCATTCGCTGAACCAATGCCATGCGGACCGCTAACATCTGTCCACACCGATGCATCACGCCCAACGCGCGCGTTGAAATCACCCAGCAGAAATAGTCGGTCGCTCTTCGGCACAGACTGTATCACGGAGGATAGCTTAGTGCAGAATTGATCATGCGTGTCATCAGGATAACACATGGTCGGACCGTATGTGCTTATAAAGGTGGCAAACCTTCCGAGTCGTAGGCGAACAGTCATCAGTCGCGCGCTGATGCCTGGTGGTTCACCCACCAGACGGCCTCTTAGGCAATCGGATATAGCAAACCGGACCCATGTTCACGTAGTGCTGAGGCGGCGTTGCCCACCTGGTAGAATGTGTAGCCAGCACCTGCTTCATGCATCTTACCTTGTTCAGCGATCCGAGTTTTACTGAGCGCCGCAATATCGATTTGCAGTACGTCGCTCGGGTCGCTCACTCGAGTTCCCGTCCAGTACTGTGCGCAGGTTCCAGCGACTGATGCTGAGTGCTTTGCGCACAGGCATACGATTGCATTGGTGGACAATAGCACGCGAGGTTGTCGTTGTGCTTCGGAGATTTGATTGAGGTTCTCCGACCGGAGCCTCTGGCTCAATAGTTGGCGGTATCCGGTTTCGGTTTTGTCTGTCACTGTGGTCAGCCACAGGACGCCTGCGCCTACAGAGGGACCATGGATGGCTTGCGCTGCACCACCCACAGCCACAACCACACACTCCATATCCAGTGTAAACCCGAAGGAATAAGATCGGGAGGCATGTGGATGGGAGCCACGTTTCATCAACGGAGTCAACCCACACTTCTTCACAGGCAAGCACAAGCACGCTGTATTTGGGAAATCACCGCCCACAAGGCGGTGGCTGGACCGTAGTCCGCTCCACACTGAGTGCATGGAACCACTCTTCCAGCCTAGCACGGCCACAAGGACCGTGCACCCCGTCCCCTCCAGCAACGACCAACTGTCTCCTGGAGCCAGTATGAACGAGGTAGTGGGTAGTAGACAGGTAGGCACCTTGTCAACATGCACATTAAGCGCAGCCACACCGGGGATATCAAGCAACAGCCAATCACTTGAAACGACAAAATGAAATAAAATAATCCAATAGTGCATACAGATACGGTGGCATAACTCTGCACTGAATTAGCATATGAAGTAAGTTGGTTAGCAATGAATGCGCGCTAAGGAAAAATGTCCACATTCAGTTAAATTGCGACAAACGTAACAAAGTTACCGAAGATAAGCGCAAATAGCGTAAGCAATGTGGACAGCTAATAGAAGATTATTCAGATAGGCTAAACAAACCAAATAAAGTGGAATGAAATTTTTGCAGATTAAAGAGACCTAGTTTAAGTGTAAGTTGGTTTAGCCCAACTGCGGTGAAGAAGGATCAAGAATGCAACATCTGCCTCAGCACGGGGCACTATATATATATATATATATATATATATATATATATATCCCAATGTGTGTACAGATATTGTGTCGTCGGAACCATGGTGTAATAAAAATACAGGGTTGGATTAATAAAACAAAGGAAATAAACAGTCTTTTGTCCATGTTTTACTCGCAATTTTTGGTGTTTTTTATTGGGGGAGGGAAGGGGATGATCGATCCAAGGTTCCTCAGTGGGCGAGATACTACCCGGTTGCCTATTCCGAAATCGAGCGTTATCTTAGCTTGCGCCACCGCGAGCTTTTGATCCAGGAGCTAACCTACAAGGCAGCAGGGTGATATGAGGGTATCGCAACCCATTGGGAGCCGGTGGCCTAACTAATGGTTCATAATTAGGACCGCATAGAACCAGGGGCCCAACACACGCTTGAATCATAATGCCACTCAGAGATAAGCAAGGGGCAGTGACTTTATTTAGTGGCGATTCACATCCGCCACGTCATAGTGTTGTTAAACGGACATGTGGCTTTTTATAGGGAGAACGGGACAATTCCGAACCAGTTAGCTGGCACCACGAGGTTGTTCGGCATGCCAGTCTGAATGAAGGGCACTAGTCCCCCAACCTCTGACTGCTGAGACCACAGTTGCTTAACTGGATTCTGTCGGGTTAATCACTGCTGATTTATTAGATGGCACTTTATTCCATCAAACTAAAGTACTAGGTAATGTTATTTTGGGTATTATAAGCCGCTCATTCACTTTTCCAATTTCAGGGAACTGTACAACACATTCATTTCCCCATGTAACGATTCATGCATTGGTCGGTCCCAGGACTTGGATTATGCTGTCCCACCCGAATATCTTATTCGACATCTCATATCAGATCGATTGCCAGATCCTCCGGTCGATCACTTATCCGAGGAGACCTTGTTCTGGCTTTTCTACAATTGTTGTAGAGAAGAGGTTCAGCTGGTGGTGGCAAAAGAGCTGTAAGTATCTGCTAACTTGAACATATTACGCGTGTGTTACTATTTACTGTAACGGCCTGCAATACCTCCCATGCACTCAATCGCCGAATGCTGCTCACCCATGCTTATCGCCTGTTCGGGTCTTTTATGATGATCGCTATTGTTCGAAAATTCTTTTTGATCAATATTATGTTGGCTACACCGGCTCCATCACTTCCTCCACGTATCGCCCTATCGAAATTACATTAATTGTTTAAATGAGGCGAACTTAATATCGCTTTCTCGTTTAATGTAGACTCATGTTCAGTCTGTTGTCTTTTAAACTCTACTACTGCGTCATCCACAAGTCAGCCAGTCTACTCTTGACCGACTCACGCGGTTTTGTTTTGCAGTTATAGTAAATCGATCTTTGAGGGATTAGACTAATCATACTAGAGCGGCTAACACGGATACCAGTCAAACTCATCGGAAAAGTAGTGAAATGCTGTTGTGTAACTCAGGTATTCGCTCGTTCTCCGAGCTTGGTAGTTTGGTTGCAAATGTTTCGTCACCAATCGAGGTGACACCATCACTTAAGAGGTGGCTGTAGTTTGGCCGCGAAAAGTCTTACCAAACAAATCCTGGTCCTTCCTCATCAATTTGAGCTACCCATATTCCGAAAACTGTAATGTAATGTTGCTCCGTTAATTTCCTCCAGAATTCATAGGTTATGGTTGTCAGAAACGCTGGTGAAACATTGTACCTTATGCATTCGGACTTCTGGAATTAAATTGTGAGATTGGAAACAGGCTACTTCATCTATCCACATTCTTGGTTCCAATCTTCTGTCTTTTTTGTCCTGTACACTGTCACTGCGACTCGCTTAACAACAAGCTATTGCAGATCCATGCAGTCACCCGTTGGTCGCATTCTTCACTGCATCTCGACATGGATTGTATTTTTGCACTGTACAGCGCATAACTGTCACATCCGACTAACTCGCGCCTGTCCCATTCTGTAGTTTCTCTCAAAAACTATCTGAGTAAATTTTCCTTGCACATGGCATCAGCATTAAGCAGCCTATTCTGCATTTTGTTTCTGCCTAGTCTTCTTGTGATTAGCACAAAGTCGGTTAGTTGTGGCCTGCGTTGGCTCACATCAGCTTCTTTTAACTGGGAGGTTCAAGTAGTCATAAATGCTAGCAAAGCCAGTAGCATCCTCTTGTTATTTAACAGAGGACAATTTATGCGAGACAGAAAGGTGGTGCAGCGTTCTGTGAACAGAGGATGCTCTCCGAACGTCCATCCTGCGAGTTTGGTTCTGTCGGCTTATTATCTGATCCGTAAGATATTCGGATAGATAGTAGTAGTGCAGCACGTCTGCTCGTGCCTTTCGGTTATGACATATGATACGCCTGCGTCCGCAAACAACCGCTGGTTTTTTGCACTTATGGATCTTGTTGTGTGAAGTCTGCCTGACCTGAATTTTGCGTGATCGACGGTTTCCACCTATCCATGAAAAACAACTGCGACCCTAGTGCGCTGAGCCAATCGAGTTAAATTTTTTAGCATATGAACTGCTCTTCACCTATGCTCTGTTCGCGTACCAGGCTGAGCCTCCGTAGAAGCAGAGCTGCGAGCATCTTGAAAGCAACACAGAGGAGACTAATCCATTCGTGGTTGGCGCAGTCAGTTCGGGTGCCCTTTTTGAAGACGGGCACGATGTCTGCTAGGCTCCAATCAAATGGGATAACTCCAGTGGCCCAGATCTCTTAGTGGAAAGAAGTTAACTCCTGAACAAGTGATGGGCCGGCATTTTTGAAAAGAGCCGGAAGGAGTTCATCTGGGCCAGTGGATTTGTAGCGCTTTAAGAGGCGAAGCTCGTGGGCAACCTCAGCCTCGGATGATGGTGAAGCGTCTACACACTAGGGAGTTGTCTGTGCTCCAGAATAGGAACTCATTGGTGCTGCTGACCAATTAAACAGCTGCTCAACGTGCTCGGCCCTAGACTCAAATCGGCGTTTTTGACAGTGGATTAGCTCGCCATTGGTTTCGCATAAAACTTTGCTTACAGTCGGCCTTTTGCCGCCAGTAGATCGGATCAGGAGGAAATTCCCCTAGGTGGCCACTTTCTCTATCTCAATGACCCGCTGCGTCCACCAGGCCTGACGATCTTCCAGGTGAATTTGTTTGAGCTCAGCGTTAGTAGTTTTGCGTAGTGAACGGTATTTAACGCTAGCAGGAATTGCTCGACGGGCTCCGAGAAGTTGGAGGGATCGTGCAGAGATCCAGTGGTTGACAGGACTACTGGTGAAGCTACAAACCAGGGTTACAAAGTTGTACACGGCGCCGCGAATGTGTCTAGTGTGTTTCAGTATTTATGCATGAGGCAGTCTTCAGCCTTGAGGCCAAGGCATCCTGAAATGCGCAGAGTACGTTTTGGGCAGAAAGCTTAGCTACGTCAAGCCGTTTCTGGCGACGCTGCTGGGAGTCACCAAAACGTAGCGCAACCTTGGCACACACCAGCGCGTGAGCTGAACTGAGAGTTACTCCCGATTGATTTGCAATCCTGTATGCTACACCGCCAGCGATAGCCAATGGCGATGTGGTCAATTTTTGTCCACGGTTGGCCAGGTGATGGGAGTCTCCAGGTGGCGCGTTGACACTAAGATCCCCGAAAGCTAGTACTCGACAGAAAGAGGCCGTGATCGACGCAAAGCTGAAGTAGTCGATCACCATTGTCAGTTCTGCGAGTGCCATGGTCGTGTTGAACACGGTGTACGCGTTCGACAACTTCAAGTCTACCGATCTGCGCGTTCAAGTCCCCGGCGAGCACCACGATGTCAATACGGCGTTTTTTACGGTGTAAGTCGACCATTTGACCATAAAACTCATCCTTAACTGACTCCTGGCTGCATTCTGTGTGGGCGTACGTTGCAAGAATGAATAGACAGCGTCTGCTGGCTTCGCGTGTGGACAGTCGCACTGAAGTTTCAAGTCTGATGACGCATAGTCGACTGTTAACAGGGATCCAGTCTAGTAGCGCGGCCTCAGCACGTGTGCTGAACGTAATCCCCACGCCAGCATAACCAGCAGCTTCGGCGCTTGAGTCTCCAGATAGGCGCAAAGTGAAAATGCCAGTGGAATTCGCAGACGGTGAAACTAGTCGTAGGGTCGTGCTGGAGTCCTCTAACGGGTCTCGCTGAGACAGCAGACATCACTGTCCCTAGTTTCTAAACTGCGAGCTGCCTGTGATCCAGTCTGCATCAACGTCCGAACATTGAAGGTTGCCAGCTTGAATTGTGAACAGGGCACTAGAAATGGCTTGTCATCACAATTTGGCGCATCTTGGGATCTTGGCTCCTGATTCGCATAGCGAGAACCTTCGCCCAAGGCAGCACGATGTTGTGAACTCGAAAACGGAGGGGGAAGACCAAAAATGGAGATTGAACAAACGTGGAATAATGTTGCTAAAAGGTGGTGCGGTAAAAGATGGTTTGGCAGGTTCAACCGCCAGCACCACGGCCGATGAGAGCAGTTCGAGCGAGTAAAAGCAGATAGATAGAGAGCGAATAATTGTTGAGACATTGATCCATAAGTTGTGTGGGCATAGTACTTCCTGGTTGCCCAGGCCTAGGAAAAGGGCTGACTTAGGAGACCCCACCAGGAGTCTCGGGTCATAAAGACCTAACCCGCAAGGCATCGGGGAAATCGAGCTATACCGCGACCGTTGGGAGTCGGCTCTCTAGGTGAACGGCTTTCGAGTAGAGGCACACTACACAGGGCGCCCAGAGCCCCAGTAAAGCAGCAAGGACTACCGAGCTCACCGCAAAGGCCGTTGACAGTCGGGTTGCTTATACGCCCTCATAGAAACCGATGGTCATCGAGGTTGTTCACCCGTCCTCCGTTAAGTACCCACTTCTGTCACCAGAATTGAGTGGTCAATGACCCTATAGCCGGCCACATTGGTTTTGACACAGCGTCTTGCGGTATTTAATGAGGAACCAGGTGACCAGCCCAGAACTCCCACTCTCTAGGACGCTGCCGCTGATTGTCCGCGACTGCACATTCACCTTGCCTGCGAACAGCCGAGACTTATTCACCGTTACTTTTACAACCTGGGGACGCGCCCGGTGGCGTAAAGCTCCGCCGAACCAATTAGTAATTAGTTCACTTCCGGGCCAAAACACTTGAAATCTTATATAATTACCGATGCATCTAACACCCTTTTGCTTTGGATAGATTTTTAATTCTGTACAGAGAGCGCAGAACCTTAGCCCAATATTGTTTTTTTGCTCAGCTGCACAAGATTCGTGATCGAGCGAGTGACAGTATGTGATAACCGCGCTAACGAATTAGCGCCGAACTGATCCCAATTTCGTTCACTTAAAATGGTTTCTGAAATCCCCATTACTGTTTCCATCATTTCTCACATTGTCCTATTCTCTACTCACTAGGTACCAGCGAGAATGGCGGTTTCATAAGAAGGAACAACTGTGGCTCACTCGCGTAGTGGGAGCCAATTTCACTACAGACAACACTTCCGAACAAGGCGATTACTACTTTTGGGATCCTATCAAAGCCCAAAAGTCGACGCATCAAATGACCATCCAGTATGCTGATTTAGATGATGCTCCTAGTTCTTTCCGATTAAGCTCGGGCACGTTAAGCGCGTACGTGAGTATTGTTCCTCCCGTTAACGCCGGTGGCGCGCACCAATCGTTCAATGCCCACCCCCATTCAGGACCGCCGTCAACACTGCAACAACATTTCGCAGCATATCAGCATCAGCACCCTCATCACCAAGCACTATTGAATCGTCAGCAAACAGGCATTGGAAATGTACCACCAAACGCAGCGCCACATTCAACTATTAATCAAATTGCCACTCCTGTTCTATCAGGTGTGTCTTCAGCAGCTGCTTTGGCTAGCTTATTCAACGCCAGACATCAAAGCCAAGCAGTCAGTCCCACGTCCGGATATTTTCAGCCGTCTACTCTGCTAACTCGGACGGGGACAGTCGCTCCGTTATTTGCCTCACGTTCCGCAACTTCGGTCACTGTTTCTGCATCGAATTCGTTAGCATCAGCTGCCGTGGCGCCTAGGACCATGCCATTTACCACTATTGCATCGGCTACCACGACGCCAAGTTCTTCTGGGCTCATATCTGTCGGGAATAATGCGGGCCCGAGTGCACACGCAATGGGAGACGGCCTTGAGAACGAGTCATCTGTTGCTAGGACGGTTAATCGAATACCCACAACTGCGGATCTCGTTGGAGTTCCTTCGGCATTCGATAACTCCTAGTCGATCATGCCCGAAGCTAACTCGTGTGTTGATGTACGAGTTTGGTATCTCAAAATGTGGATTCCGGTGCATACGTTCGATGCTACGCCACTTGTCAACGTTATTTTCGCCCGCCGCTGGATTTTCCTCTTCCTAACCGTGTAGATGTCCTGGTTTCCCCAGGCGCACCTTTTCAATATCCCGCGTGTATGACAAGCAATCCGATCTTTACAGACTCGTCCCCACTGTTGCATATTTGCACGGATGACATCTTTCGGCCATTACTATGGATATTATCAGTGCAGTCTTGACTTGGAGCTTCGGGCCTAGTTTTTCACATTCATATCCTTTCTTCCATCACAACTTTATGCTTTGATTCTGACTGCTACTTTCTCGGATTAAATTCGCGTCTTTTCCGTCAAGCCTTATTTCCAGAATTCTGCGAGTAAACCATCTTGTTTAATAGGCTAGAGTATCCTCACTCATTCCATTTGGTGTCTGTCTTGTACCTTTCACGACGCCGAACCATTGTTCTTTGTCTGATTGCATCTTACATCCTCGCTCTCACCTTCATTGTAATAGTTCTCCCTTCACACTCTGTTTATCATTTTGTACAGACGAACTCTTGATCTGATTTTCCATCTGAGTTCCAGTTTGAACATATGTGCGGCGTCTGGTCTCTATTGCTCCTTGCCTTGATCGGTTTTTATGTCACAGTTAACTACACACTCCACAGCCTCGCCTATCAAGCTGCCACAATGCGACACTCTCCAAGAAAGCTCTTTGTGCTGAAGATGGTAAGAAAACTAATATACCCAAGGATGGCTTGTGGACGCTTCGTTGTAATTATTCTTTCCTGATCTCCATCCACTTTTTCTTGATTGTTTCCTTTGTTTATTCGAAGAGGGTCAATTGTGCTGCACTTCTGTCCGCGCCATGAATTAGTTCCGTTGTCCATCCTGTTATGAAGATGCTGGCGCGCCTCGAGTACTCCCATTCCACTCTACATTCACGTGGAGTTGGGTTCCTTTATCAGGCAGCTCTGGTCGTGTGTTCAGGCCGATTGCCGACGCACAACCTTCGTGTACACTAACAATTAGCTTTCCCCACGCAGGCTGTACATTCATTCCCACTGTATCAAACATACTTTCGACAATTTGTTCGATAGCTCCTTCGAATGCTTTTTCCACTCTTGTATCTCCTTTCATCATTTTGTCTCACCTGTGTCATGGTTAAAACACAAAGATAATCCTAATCGGTCTTCTCCGTGTGTCCTCTCATTTGGATGCAGCACTCTCTCCACCGCTGCCGCGGCGATTCTTTTTCATGATCACCATCAAGTGTTCTACGTCTTTCGTACATGTTCGAATGGTACCGCAACTGCCAACATGTAGTCCGTCGTTACTCGAGCATCATCATCATACACGTTAGCTAGAGGTGGGAAACACCTCAGTTACTGTGCCGCAGTTACACGAGCATAAGGTGCACGGCTCGAGTGTCCGCGTCGGTTGAGCCCTCATCATCACAACAGTGCACTTGTAAGTTGAACTGATGCCTTGCAACCATACAACGAGATTAAATGAAGACTAGTAAGAGAAATTTAGTATAGGGCCTAAATACCATGAACAAACTTTCCGTGTCTGGACGCTAGAATTTTCAACAACGCACGGTCACAAACAGCAGCTGCCTATCGTGTGAAGATAAGGCGAAACAACCTTCTTGTGTCTTCCACTAACTGCGGGTCTTAATTACAACTGCCCACAAATTAACGTAGTATCGGACATTTAAACACGTATTCTGACTAGACGACAGCAAACACGCGGGCTGCAGGCCATTTTTTGTAAACGTCGAGCATCCGTCTAGGTGCTGGTGTCACTCACGTCACTTGTCACATAAAACTGTCCGTACGGAATCAAAGGACAAAGCTATTCATTTGCACTGTCACAAATGATTGTGTATGTCACAACGGAACGACGACGTGAGTGTGCACAGAGTTTTTGTTCGCGCGCTATCCATGTCACCCCTACGATTCAATGATCTTGTCATCCAAGCACATCTGTTGACGGCATTTGCCGTTACATACATCACGTGCAACGCTTTAGCATTACTTCCATTTCTTTTTCTGAGATGTACAGCTGCTATTACTGACAGGACGTGAAAGCCTTCCAACGCTTGTGGCTGTTAATATTCGTCTAATTGGATTGAGTGATAGTCCCCGTATGTCATTTTTCGATATTGTTTTGGTAGACCAATCATACTTTCCCCGACAGGATGGACTGTGTATCAAAAGCATTTGATACTCGGAGCATCCCGTGGTCAACACCGTAGAAAATGAGCTCAGTTGAGAACTCGTTGAAGAATGTGATACGACATCAACTCTAGGGTGACCAGCGATCCGTAGCTCGCATGTGAGGACGCTGCACACATCTATGTACACGTACCGGAAGAAGAAACGCTTTCGATACTTACTATTTAAGGAACCACGTGAGGCATCTGTGACTATGCCAGAGTTATAGTGCCTTTAATCGTTATTTTGTAAAAAAAAATTTAGCAGCACGCCTTACAGACGCTTCTGTGCCACGTAACAGCCACCCGGCGTGTGTGTGGGCCAAGAATGCTGCGAATGCTGCTGCCTGATCCCCCACGCAGGCTCAAACCGGTAACATTCCGGCTCAATCTTTTCGGCCACCAGTCGGTGTTATTTCAAAATCCGACCATTATATCCGAAAACCAGGCACGAATCTGAGTATGTCTGGACGATGCGGCTGCAAAATTAAACTTTGTTATAATCGACTGCTCCCATCAAGTGTCCGACGCAACAGTGAGTGAAATGCAACTAGATAGCAGCAGGTTTAGAACTGTCCTGAAGTGTGTGGAAATTCTTCCCGGGAAACAGCTTTGTGGGCGCCGTTTCTGTGATCGCACTTCGTCAGTATGTGTTGTCTCATAAACGCGCACACCCATTCGATTCGAACGCCATCAGCTTAAAAGGCACAATTAACCCACATGACAAAATAATAAGTCGCGGTGCGTAGGTATTTGCGTAGTCAAAAATATGGTGGTTCGAATGGGCTCTAAGAATCCATCAAATACCGATAGGAGTGGAGTGAGTGATCAATACAAAAAGTTTCAAGTTGAAACCGTGTAGCGCAATCCCGACAACAATCGCCTCAGGTGACCTGAGTGAAATAAGGTGAATTCCGCGGATGGATTTAGTTGCAAAGCAATGTGCAGATCGAAAGTTGGTGACGTAAACTATCTGCAGCTACATTCCCGCATCACTCGCTAGGCAAATATCGGCAACAGCCACGCTGTACCGTTTCCCTGGCCAAGCACAACGTTCGCACGTTTGACACTCTGGGTATTGACGAGTGCTGCATGTCCGAAACAAAAGTCAATAACCTTCATATGGTTGTTGAACTAACTGCGCCCGGCTTGTCCTCTCGCTATTCATTACGCGAGTCCGAAGACTGGTGGGGCAATCACTGGTCATCCTAGGGAAACAATCATGTAATCTGACGGCGCCGGTTCGAGCCTACGTAGGGGTAGGGCGACCCTCGCAATATCCTTAACCCGGGTGCGACCGGTGGTGGTTGCGCAGCAGCGAAGCGTCGGTACCGCATACTGCTGATACCCTCCCTAGGTTACGCATCGTTCTTAACTCTAAGACTAAGTCATCACTGATTGATTGAACTCCCTGAACAACCCGCTGATTCAAGGCTGCTTGTTTGTGGTTTTGGCTTATGTTCCCAATGGCTGCAGTCATAGTGCTGCCTCCGGGCGCGACTGCTGGTGGCTGCACGGTAGCCAAGCCTTGGTAGTGGGCACCTGCGAACTGCTGATACCCCGATTTTACACTTTATGTTACTGCCAAAGACACCTACTGTGTGTAGACCATTATCTCAAGCTCTTCCAACTGATCCGCACCACTGGTCCCAGGTAGTTATGCGTCATTGCGACAATCAGACAAAACGGGTGCAATGATTCGCAAAAGGAACACCGTATGGATCGTTAAGCGGAGAATTTTCATGAGCAATCAAACTGTTCCCTTGCTCCCGGACCACTTCCTACTCCTGGTGCAGGCTGCTTAGTTGAGTGTCTCCATCGGAGGCTGTGATCCGAAACGCGATCACAGCCCTTAATCGTTTTCATCCTGCTGGTCCGGATTCCCTCTCATCTGCACAACTTAAGGATGGTGATGAGGTCCTCCGCGAAGCAATGGTCTCCCTGTTCGAACATGTCTAGAATGAAGAGATCATCGTGCGTAACTGGAGCGAATCGATCACAGTGGCAATATACGAGAAGGGCCGTCGTACCGACTGTGCTAACCACACGGGTGTTAGTCTAATACCAGTGGTGACAAAATTATTGACCACAATTTCCGCTCGTCGCCATACTGCGGAACGGGAATCCCGGATTACGGAAGAGCAAGCAGGTTTCCGCCCAGGATGAGGCGTTACAGACCATATATTCACTCAGCATCAGATGCTAAAGAAGCATCACACGTACCACAAAGCAGACTAGCTGTGTTTCTAACGAATAGGAGGGAAATTTTCATTGTAATTGCAATGTTTTCGTCCCAGCTGCTCGCAGGCTACATAGCGCAGCCTAATCCGGAAAGGCACTATTGGGTCTCGTCAATGATGCTCATTCCCTCGGTCCCCTACCGGGGATCGAACCCATGACCGCTAGAGGCATATGCCAACTAGCCAGCAGCTAAAGCCACTGAGCCATGGGGACGTCGGCTGGGTTACACAATGTAGCCTCTCCTACTTTCGAATGCTATGGAGGTAGCGTCTCGTGAGAGGAAGTCATGACCTTCGGAGGCTAGCCAATGTCATCTGCTAAGTTAGTAACCTGCGTGGCGGTGGAAGATAAGTCGTGCTATATTCCAGTTAGCTTGCAAAATTTTGTATTCCAGCCGATCTCCTCAGTGGCCTAACCTGCTGGCTAGTTGGCATCTGCTTCTAGCGGTTATGGGTTCGATTCCCGTTAGGGGACCGAGAGAATGCGCACCAATGAGCCCCAATAGGGAGAAACGTGTCTGGTGCTTTTCCGGACTAGGCTTGTGAGCAGCTGGGAAGAAAATAGCTGTTTCTCAACTTCAGTCAGTCGATGCGTTCCGCTCGAAATATTTGCACAGAAAGCTGTTCCAATGAAATACGTGGACATTGTACGTGCCCTGTAATCGAACACCACAGGCCGCGTCAGGGTCTCCGATGACTTATCACATGCCTTTCCGACAACAAGCGGCGTTCGTCAGAGTTATCTGATTTCCCCATTTTTGTTCAACTCCGTCATGGGCCACATCTGGGAGTGTTCCCTTGCGGAATCCCAAGGTGCAGACGTTGAGGTGTTACCTAGTGAAAAACCAGTGGATCTTGACTATGCGGACAATATTTAACAATCTTGGCGTGTCACAATGAACCCTGAATAACCTTACTAGAATGGTCCCATCATTCGGCATGCGCTTCGCACCTTCGAACTGCAAGGTATTTTTGCAGGACCACTGGCTACTTGATGACCCCATTGACAACAAGAAATTCAAGGTGGTAAATCAATTCATTTATCTTAGCAGCTGCATCATCAACGATGAGCGCATAGCCACTGAAGTCAGTTCATGTACTGCAAAGCCTAGAACAGTCTACTTGAATCTGTGACATATGGCGTCAGAAGGGGTTTTGTTCGGCCTGAGAGGCAGGGTGTATGTGCCACAGTGAGGGCCGTCCTACCTTTGGGGTGAGACTTCGATCTGAGGACCTGCAGGGCCTTCAAGTCTTTGGTCCTCGCTTTCTGCGAAGTATTTCTGGTGTCGGATGGCACCAGCGTGCCCGCAACTATGATGTGCGTAGGTGAATGCCGGGTGGTGTTAATCAGGCTTGGTCAGTAGGACAACATAGAGCGCTAGAGAAGTCGCGTTGGCTTGGGCACGTATTACATATGCCCAGTCATCGTTTACCTAAGTGATTTTTGTTTTCAAAGTTGGACTTGGAGAATCCGCTGTGTGGTTGGGTTGCTACAAACAACCTCCATTGAGACCTCGGTTCACTTGAGGTGGACCTCGGTCATTCCGATCACAAGGCCAGTGAGTGAAATGGAACTATTTTGTTGTTGCTCATCCCAACACTGGCACCCCACGACTGCGATTTCGTCCTTGTTTGGAGATAGCCTTAGCTGGGTGGAAATCAAAACCTAGTGGTTTACAGGTGACGCCATAAACACTATGCCACTGAGATCCACTGTCTCAAATGTTGCCCTGGGATCTC